CAGTAGCTGCAGGACACGGCACATAATACATAGGTACAATGTTAATCACATAAAGTTAAAATATCTAACTCCATGCCTCTTTGTCATTTAGATATTCTTTAACGGTATAATAAATATCCTTTACATTGTAGACAATTTTTAATACGACTTTTATAATGATTTATTGGCAAATGTAATACATCACTGGGAATTTTATTAAAATACTGTATACCTTGACCCATAAAGAACCTAATACCTTCTCTAACCTGTAAGAAGGCATTACTTGTTTTTATTTCTAGTGTTAAGTTTGTGTACATCACTATGCTTAGTATACACATTAATATTGTTCCGGACAAAAAGTATACAACTATGTATATATAAATTGAGATGCAACCGTCAATATTAAAATTTCTTTAAATTTCTCTCTAAGAGATTTTCGCGAGCCCAACTAATAGATAGCTCTTATTTCTCTTTTTTGTAAAACAAATATAAACTGAATATCGGCTGCCGTTCCCCACAATATAATGCCATAGGACATGATACTGTGAAAATAACTAAAGTGTGTCCGGGCAGTTTTTACATCGGTAATTTGTCTTATTTTTCGTATGGCATATGCAGCCGAGCTAAGTTTACCAGCTAATATAGAAATATGCGGTTTCCATTGCAGTTTTGAATCTAGTGATATGCCCAAAAATATAATCTAATATAAAATAATAATCTAAATAGGTTAGTGTAAAAAAGTTAAATTTCAATCTATGATAAGTATTATTGCCTAGGTATATCCGATTATAAACATTATTAAATATTTATAACTTATACACAATATCGTATTCGGTGATAAAGTGAGGAGAGCACATAACACAAGGAAATGGTGCAATCAAAGAAAACAATCAATAAATAGAAAAAAAAATCGTTCGTTTGATTTTCTTCCTTTACTTAGGTCACATACTATTTTTAAAGGTTCAACCGTGGGCAGTCATCATGTGAGTATACCAATGACCATTCTTCATAGTCCGAATACCTGGATGGAACCATACCCCTTATTTTTCGTATAGATGACTAAGATTTTCGGGGAAAAGCTGTAAGTAAAATTTAGGGCGCAAGCTACTAATAGGTAGGTAGATACAGTATTGCCCTATCTGGGGGGTATACTCAAATGTTCCTGAATCGTACCCCTAACCCGCAGTAAGTCCCGCCCTTTTAGCTGTGGACCGAAAAAGGAGCGGACGGCGAAGGAAGTGGTCCTCGGGCTGAGCATAGCCTTCATGCAGAGGGATAGCGATAGGTTTTAGTGGGTACCTACGCCCCTGCTTTTTGAATACTTCTTCTTATGGGGGACGGCACCGCAGGGGTAGGGCCCTGCGGTCCCGACCCGCCGACTCCGCGCTGGGGAGAGCGGTTATGCATTAATGCATTTCAAAACGTAAAAAAAAATACAGTATAGAGTTAATAAAAAAAATACCTCTTTCGATATATTTAAAGTTTAATTTTTTACGTATTTTTTGTATTCTAAATCAACCTTTCAGGTCAAGTGTTGTACATCGCTTGTTTTGTTATATACCTATAACGATATATTATGGAAAATAAGAAAGATATAGTATTATCGTCTGGCTATTGAACGATAATTTTGCATCCTGATTAGTTATTATTTTATCAAAGGTTTTTTACAATAATTAACATTGAACATTCATTGAATGTCATTCAATCTTCCGATAAAAAAAGAAAGATGTAAGTAGGTATAATTATGAGATAATGCTGCATGTTATAATAATTAGTTTATTAATAAATTTTTATATATTTTTTTATATACTTTATAGGTTAATGCTTGACTACGATCCCACCTGATGGTAAGTGGTGATGAAGCCTTGGGTGGTATAGCGCATTAACCTAGTAACAGCCTATTCACTCTTAAATATAGTTAAATCCTCAAATTTTAATTTTCTTTTCTTCAAAATCAATTTCATTTTAGTTATTGTATTAATTTAAATATATCATTTATTCTAAACACTTTTGGTAGTCAAATATTATTAATAGAAAACAAATTGAATTCTGTTTGTCTTTAGCATGCTTAAATACGTAGCAACGTATTTACTATAAGAGCTAAAACCCCGAGCAGAAAACAAGAGTAGCAAAGTAGTAAGTATTATTATTCAAGAAACTTTTATTAAAGTCGAACGATTATATTAGTAACTGAGCCACCACGCGTTCTCAGTTCATATACTGTATGTGCAGTTTAACGTGCCTTGCGAAGCACAGAGGAGCTCGAGATAATAAATTTTTGGTCACCTATTCTATGGCCGGCCATTGCGAATGTTGCATAACAACCGCATCGCAGACCGAGTGCGCTAACCACTGCGCCATCGATTTACTCAGTTTTCAAGTAGAATTAAGATATATTGTGTACTTTTTGATATTTTTTTCAGCCAGACAACTCGACTTTCACGAGCATGACGCATCTCTCTCTAGGAAGATACCGGACAATCTTTAAGTACCGCTCAATCTCTCGAGTCTCGTGTCTTCCATACTACGGGACGTTGGCAGATTTTCTGTGCACAAAGGAACAAGGCCATAACATAAAAAAATTACAATGTTTGAACTTTGAGTGACATCAAAGTATCATGACGCGTTTAATGCTATGACACATCCTTTCCATGTCTAGCTTTCAAATCTAGAAGAAAAAACATGTACAGAAAAATCTTTGGTATGTGCAGGTATATAAAGACTTCGTATTTCTAACAATATTTTAGATATTTATATTGTTTCAATCACAATCTATTATTTGAAAACAAAATCTAAAAGTTTGCACCCAAGGGAGTCCATTATTTCTGAAGTTAGAGAGTTTGCATTTAGTTACCTATACTACTGATATTATCGTAGAACACAATGTTTTAATTTTTTTTTCGTCACCGCAGGAATCTAACTAAAAGATTAACTTGAAATTTTTACCCAACTTTACGTTATCATAAAAAAAGAGTAAAATAAAAATACTTCGTTCGTTACATTGCCAATTAAAAGCTTTACAGCTACGTCATATCGCATCAAGCAGTAGAGGATTAAAGGGGGACGGAGGGGGCGGCTCGTCCCGGGTCTCCAGTTCTGTGGAGCCTCCAAATGGCTGCAAAGTCCCTTGATCACATTATAAATTCGGGTTGGAGGCCCCGTAGAAAAATAACTACAGCCTTAAGTGGATCGCCAAGTCGATCAGTTTTTTTTTTACGCTTAGAAATTCGTTACGCATACCCGCTTCGGGTTATGTGAGACTCCTCCTGTGGCCTCACCCCTGAAGGGGTTAGACAAAAAGCAAGTTTACCCAAAAACTTAGCGATGTCCCTCGCATGGAAGGCGATACACGGGACTGGCCCGAAGGCCATCCACCGTGCGGTTCGCCCCATTTCGGCCCGCTCTGAGAAGGGCTGGTCCCTCTGCGGGTTGGGGGTACGTCTTAGAGACATTGGAGACGCATCCCCCAGACAAGGCGGAGGCGTGCAATGCCCGGCCAGTGCGCAAACCGGTCAGGCTGCCCCCGATTAAAGACTGGAGATGCGCTACTGTGCAATCTTTAGACCCTTACCCATCTGTTTGGGAGGATCCACACAGGCAGAACCCTTATCGTGAATCCCAAAAAAGAGTATGTATTCGTTTATTTGGTAATTTAAAATTTTATATTTAGGTAAGATACGAACTGTTTTTATATTCATTTTTTGTTTGTTACAGTTTCTTTACTTTATCCTTATACAATTAATAAATCCATACTCAAGCTAGTCAGTCATATTAATTGACCCAAGCACCGAACCCGTCACAAGCTGAGCAATATTAATACAATTCATAACTTTTGTTCTCTTCATTCTTAATTCCATCACGTCTAGAAATACCAAGCATTGCTCTCTCCATTGCCCGCTGGATGACATTGAGCTTTCTTATGAGATCCATATAAATTCCTATATTAGTTTCTAATGGTTACACGTTTACGATGACGTTACTGAAAAGGTACCCTTTCAGTAACATTTTCTACGTGCGTAATGTATTAAACTCCTTGGAATCTCATTGCATTATTTTCAATGCATTATTATTATGTGTCAGATTGAACTGAAACATGGCAGACATGCTGCAGGTAATTATCTATTATTTATAAGAAATAACAGTATGTTTACTGTAGTAGATAAAACCTCATTAGTAAACTGATGCTACACTGATACTTTGTACAAATAAAAATGTGAAATGAGTCTTAAATATAATATGGATGGATAAGATTATGAGAGGCGAGGCATTAGGTGGACTAATTTATAATTTTATAATCCTAACGACAGCACATGGGGTAGGTACATTTATTTATGTTTATCTTGATGTACTATTTTGTGGTCGAGAAGGTACCTATCTGCACCGCGCTATCGTAAGTACTTAAAACATCCTGATAAGACTAATTTTTTTTATTGTACCCATATCAATGGTTTTTTGGATTACAGTTCAGGGTTGGCTCTTAGTATTTTAACAATAAAATAATTTGTATTGTATAAAAATAATAAACACTGTCATTTTCTGTAAAATGATTGTCGACACATTTGCTTATTTTAAATTCAGAATACTGAAATACCTACATACCATAACTGAAGGTTAGCATGGTAGTAAATGATGTTAAATATTATGAAAAAGATTATTTTATTCTTAAACTATATCTATGTCATGTCTAAATTAATATCTGTCAAATACTTGTAACTAAACTTCTATATTTAATATCTATGTATTTAAATGTACATACCTATAATAAAATGTCATTTATTTTGACACTCACAAAACATTTTAAAGATACTCTTGTTGACCTAGAATCATGAAATTTGGGTGTTCGATACTTTCATGGTTTTAGAAAATCATAAAAAATAATATTGAAATGAATTGAAATAGTTGAAATAAAAATATTTTCGTTCTGGAATCTTTACGTAGACTTCTTAACGTACGTTTCTTTGAAGTTTGGTAGGATGTCTAATATGCTATGTAACTCTCGAGCCCTCTTAATATCAGATAAAAACTATTTGATATCAGTACATCCTGCGACTCTGTTCATGAAAGAATAACAATGAAAAAATTATAATTTGGGTTTCGAACAATGATAAAAATAAAGCACATTTACTGTGACAATATGGTGGCAACCCTAGTGTTATACCTAGAGGTAAGCTAAAGTCCTGGGAAATTTAACACGAGAGCGTTACAAAACCTGCTCAGTAGCGTCTGTGTGCTTCGCCGATTTCTATCTCTGCATTTTGGTAAGACATGCCATTATTACTTTTATGCAATGCATACACATATATTTGTAACTGTTCTCAAAACGGGTTCACTTTTTATTATTTCGCTGAAACTTTAGAGTTCATAATAATTTTAGACGACAAGCATTTCATTTCTATAAAAAATAACAGCTCACTTTCAACATTTTAGACAAATATTCAAAATTTTCTTCACGTGTATAAGTCAAACAGTTTCCACTTATATTATGCAAACGTAATACTCTGACGTTATACAAAATTATCTGCTGTTTTCCGTCGACTTCGCCCTCGTAAAGGGATATATCTTCCGCGAATGATGTAGCTTCGCGTAGGTGATTGAATTTTTAAAACCGGCCTTAGTTTTGGAGCCCGTTCAATGCAAGCAAAAGAAACAATATTTGTTTCTTCTTTATAATATAAAGTATTTAATTTTATTCAAGAACCAAAGGGATTATGATTAAAATATTTGCTTATGTTATTAACGTGTTAAGAGATAGGAAAAAATATTTATGATGTCGATACTGATATATTAGTTTTATAAAAGTACAAATATGTTCATTTATAAATTTATTCTTAAGCATCTATTAAAAACTTTTAGCTCCTAATGGCACCTTTGATACCGGGATCTAGTATTACTTATATTCAAGTATTACTTCTATTCGACTATGATACGAATGGAAGTCTATTCCAAAGTGTCCCGTTCACGTACTCTGTAGCTGGATAGCATTCTCTATCAGTGAACAAGAATAGATAGATAGAATATTCTTTATTGTACACACAAAGACAAAATACATTTATATGACGAAAACAGGAGACTAAAAATAAAAAATAAAAATAAAGGCAAGACGCCACTTATGTAATCTTAAGTCCTAATTTATTTTTGGACAGATTTAATGATATGTTCGATCGATACACATGTTAATCGTTATAATCTGTCCATTTAGTAGGTAAATTTAATTGTTATTGCATTCAGTGTTTGGTTGCTCAAGACGACAATAGGGTAAATATTTATATGTTATTGCTTTTCTAAAATTAATACAAGTTAAACCCAGACGCGCTTTACTGTGGCTGCTTTTATTAAAACTTTGAAATTCAAAATATATTTGTATTATAGTAAAATACGTAAGAAAACTCAACAATCCTCTGGGACTGTTGAGGGGTGAGTAAGTTTTCGAAAGTCATCGTTAGGGCTGCTGTTGTAAGTTTTCTTTGCTGCTGAATATTTTAAAGTATTTTTCTATAAGAATAAATAAATAGAACTCATGTTAGTCATAAATGCCATACAGCCTGTTGCACAAACGTCCATTAAAATATTCTTTACTTTAAGTTTCATTACCCATACAAATTTGACTTTCATTAAGCTTAAAGTCATTAAACCTTAATGGACGTTTGTGCAACTCACCGATTATCATTTATTTTACATAAGACACGATAATAGGTATCATTAATGAATTGTATTTGCTTGTTACAGATCTCACTTCTAAGAAGTCATAATGTCTCTCGATCAGGTGAGTGAAATTCATAAAATAAAAGTTATGACATAAAAATAGGAGCTTATTTTCAGTGCCGATAGGGTTGAATGTCACGATTTAGGGCAATAGTGTTTATTTGATGCGTGTCACAAAGAACAAAAAAAGTCCTTGAAGTAAAATTTCTTTTTAAAACACTAATCTATTTTTAGTGTCATAGCCAAGTCATTTTACCCATGTTAGAACGTCAGAGCTTGAATTCTATTGGCTGATTTTAAGGTGATTTAGTAGTTAAAAATAATACTAATAAAGCGTTAGTTTTGTCAAACATTAATCAGTAATAAGTAAAAATTTAGGTCACTACTTATGAGCTTAATTGAATATAAAATTAGAATCTACTTAGTGCTTATCAACTTAATTACGTGTAAACCCTTCTGCCCGTTGCACAAAGTCCATTAAAATTGTCATTAGTAAAGCAACATTACCGATTCAAATTTTCAAAAGACCATAAGAGCTTAAAGTCGTTATTTATGCTACTGAGCGTTAGCCTGTAAATATCACGGTCACAGGACACTGTTGAACTAGTTTAGGAACATTTCCTTAATCTGGACTCTTACCTCTGTGCATTAGGTTCATTCTATTTTATTAATTAGGTTATTGTATGTTTAGGCATAGTATACTATGTATTAACTTTCATATATATTATTTTTAGCACCTAACTAATTAATAGAGTCTCCTTTACCCAAGGATTTGCCGGGGCATGCAGTCTCTACAGACTTTGCAATTGCAATTTACCGAATTTGGTGACTAACACATGTCGCTCGTATATTGACTAAGACTTTTCTACATAATAATATACCTTAGTAATGATGCCGCCTTTAACATTTATGTTCTTAATAATATGATATGAACATATATTAATTTAGCGCCATTTATTGATAGTAGAAACAAATTTAAAAGTGACTTTCGACTGTAACTAAAAGAAATAAGGTTCAAACTGCTTTGTGCGCATGTATAGTCGGTATGCGGTCAATGTACCTTCACTCTGGAATGTAGAATATTGCAACGACAGTTAGATGCTTAAGTTATCTTTTACTTTACAGAGAAAGAGTCCGTTATTGCAATCTGTGCACAAAGTGTACTTTGTAAAATAAATGGTTTAGAAGAAGATATTTTTAACATATTTTTAGATTTATCTTTATAAGCAATATGATTTGTCGCTTTCCGTTGTCTGTACCATGAGAAAATTAAAACTACACAATAGATTATAATACAGAGTGATCCAAGAGGAAGGTTTATAGGTATAACACGCGAGTAAAGCTATGGCAGAAAGCTTGTGACAAAGAATTAAGTCACATGGATTACAATGGTCAACACTGAAAAAACTTCCAGTAAATTTCTAGTTGTTTTTAGTTAAATTAAGTGTACTGGTAATGAAAATACCATTGTTTTGTTTTTCTTCTAGCAACTCTAGTTTTAAATATAAATTTACAAAAAGCACAAATTTACTCCAACGCTAAACTTTGTGTATGAATAATACTGTAGAGGTTTCATATCAGATATGTCGTAAACTAATTGTAATAGTACATTACGATATTAGTGCGTTATGATGGTTATAACATGCGAGGCTGAATAGAGCCGAGCATGTTATAAGATAACCGATACGCACGTATATCGTACGACGTTTTTTAACACATTTGCGAGGAAACAGAAAAAAAAAAACATTAAATAAACTCAATTTGTGAATGTACACTGTTGCTTTCCCGCCATTTTAACAGGGCGCTAATTTTGAATCACTGAAATGGAATATTTCCAGCTTCACATTTCAAGTTCGTTCATGGATTGGACAAAATTAGAATCTGTTGTCTGATTTGTAGTTCATCGAAAATGCCTGCTTTCAGCTCAGTCCAGGATTTTTTTCTTGAGATAAGCAGAACGTTCGCATTTGCTTCATCATATCAAGCATGTTATGATGTCGATGGTAATGGCACTAGTGATTGGTTGGAGTAAGTAAGAGGCCTCTGAACAGCAGAGAACGTCCGGCTTGCATAGTGTATACCCGTAAAGGAACCATACAAAAATAAAAATCATCATGAAGATTACGAGGTTCCCGCCAGATCTTGGTTGTTTTGAACTCAAGTGCAGGTCTTTTTCCATTTGACCCTTGTTGCAAAGAGACAATTAGCACACAGTATTTGGCACCCATGGTTTCTGTAGATTGAGATATTCACTCCAAAGTAGGTAAAATACGCAGTTTTAACGAAGTCTGTGGTCGATTAACGATACTTTGCAAACAACAAACAACACAAAAACTGTCTGGATCGTTTAAACAATGTCTCTTCTTTGTAGTCATCATTAAATAATGTGAAAAAATTAATAATACACTACTAGAAACTCACTGAATATGATGCACTGTCACTTAAATTGCGGGTAGTTTGAAAAATCTTATAAACTTGAGCTGCTACAAAAATACCAATGTAATTTTTGAATTGACTACACCAAAATACATCAAACGTGATAAAAATATTCTTGGAAAATTTTATGAAGTAGATAATTGTAGGACAGTGTTTTAAGCTTTATCTTTACACGGGCAATATCGATTTGTGAGATTATTATTTATCGATTAACAACATAATACCTAAAATGAATTTATTTAATGTACTATCCATTAGCTATTACAAAATGGAAAAATCCATGATGTAATTCAGATAAATGAAAAATAAGAATAGATGATATTGGAATTTTGTGCTATAATCAATTTAATACTTGCGACGACAGCTTTTATAATTCATATATTTTCAGTGGAAATTATATTCTACCTTCAAAGCTGTAAGGTTTAAATTAACTGGAGAAATTTGACAGATTTGTAAGCGTGACGAGCTGTACAGTCAACAGTACAGTAAAAGTTTTTCATATGTACTCCTTTTAATGTTTTGCAATGAATTACTTGATTAAAAAAATACAGAGACATTCACATAACTAATATATCTTACTTTGATCAAGACATTGTTTTAAAACATAGATATAATAATACCTACCATAGTTAAACATCGATCTTGTTCGAAGTTTTTTGTAAATGAGCACATGCTTTCATTATTTCATTTAATACATATGTAATACAAACATATGTATTAAATGAAATAACTTTTATATGGATAGTGCGTGTGAAAATATAAGAAATCAATATGAGCATGTCTTAGTTTTGCATTTATACGTAATTTTTTTTAATAGTAGTAAAATATGGATGTAATATAAGTTTTTGAAGTTTATCTAATAGTCGAACCAAAATTCATTTATTTAAACTATAATAATATAGGCAATATAAAAAAAATACACATTTAATAAAAAAATCCAATGTTTATTCATATATCGCAACATTTAATATATTTGTTCGACTTATAAATAAAACAGATATTATTTTAGACTAGTTGTGCCCGCGAGGTCGTTCGCGTGGAAAGTAGCCTACGTTACCCCATATTACATACTCGTACGCCATCTACCAGTGATAGTCCCATCAAAATCAATCCAGCTATTTCAGAGATTAGCCGGAACAAACAGACAAACAGAAAATGAAAAGAAAAATATATTTTTGTATATCTATCATGTTTACATGTATTTAGTGAAAAGCGATTATTTCATTATTTATTTGTATAGATAATTTATAAGTAAACAAAAAACATACTGTTATTTAGCGTCAGTCTCTCAGGGTCCGGTCCGGTTCTGGTACAGATGAACATATTTGACGGATGATATCAAAGAAAGCTTGACCCATTTTAAACTAAATCCGGTATATAGTGGATTTGTGCGGACCAGTGTAATCGGTCCTTTATTTACTCAAAACAAGATATAATGGACTAAGGTCCATTATGCCTTATAATGGCTTGTTTCTTTTTGAAAATATATTTCGGTTAGATTATTTGATATATTTGTTGATTGCAGGATTTCCAGAAAGTCGCCGAGTCTGTGAGGAACTGGAAGACCAGGCCCTCTGACAATGAGAACTTGGCTCTCTACTCTCTGTACAAACAGGCCACCATTGGCGACGTTAACATCGGTAATAAACCTTCATGTAAATTAGAACCTTTTTACGATTTCGTAATAGAACGACAGTAGGACTTTTATTAATTCGTCATGTTACTTTTTACAAATTTTGTCAAAGAATAAAAGGCCTATAAAAATATACATTTTTCTTCAAAAATTCCTACGGAACGCGTTGATATCTATTGAAGTAAAATGAGGAAAAAGTTTATTTTATAAAAATCTTAATTAAAAACGAATTAATATCCTTGGAAATCCCTAATAAAGTGTAGTTTTTTATATTGAGAAATTCTATGGTAGAATGTCTATTGAAACGTTATTAATATAAATAGATATATTTAGGAATTTCTCTCAATCAGAATGTCGTTATTTAGTGTCACACGCCAAGGAAAACTCGAACCCATGTACACTAAATATCTTTCAAGTCCAGTCCAGACATTCCACTAAATATAAGAATTTTAACAAAATAGCATTTTGAAATAACAATCTGAAGACCAATGACTGTTAATACATAGTTTTCGTGGAAGGATTGAAGACTTGTAAGATTGTTTTTATGCTTGCCTAGCAGAAAGTACAGTTTTTCTATTAGGTTTCATTCTAGAACTCTATAAAAAAAAGATTTTTTTTATATAATAAGTATCTCTTGTTTTCTTTACAGCCGAACCCAGCGGTATGGTAGAAAAGGCAAAATTCAAGGCTTGGACCGGCCGCAAAGGGATTTCTCAAGATGATGCCAAAAAACAATACATCGATTTAGCGGGACAATTGCAGGGCAAATACGCTTAGACTTAGTACCTTAGGTTATACGCATGCTCATTACTATTACTTATTTATATGCATTTATTTATTGTAAAGATCTATCATCATTGAAATAAAAAAATATTAAAAGCAAATGGTGATTTTTACTTCAAATGAAAAAGAAAGAAAAAGATTTGAGTTTTTTTGCATTGAATATAATTTCGAAACTACTGGACCTATTTTAATGTCACACATTATCCAATCCTAATCTTGGGATTCCAAATCATGCTTTTTTATGCGTCGGGGAAATACCTTAAGCAATAGTCTCTGATACAAGGTGAGCTATAGAGGGGTGTGTGTGATTCTTCTCCGTCACCGGAGGCCTACCTACCAAAACCCCTACGGTATAACCCCCTAACAGGACCTTAGTCCTGTCTTGTGGTCGGAGAGGTCCAAATCATGCCACAACCTAGTTTGAATTTGATAATAAACATGATTGAAATATTGAAAAGCTCTTCAACGTATAAAAATTTTTTGAACACAGTAACTGGCGGAGTTTAATCCTCTACAATATTGATTACGAATAGAAATAGCGAAAAACCCTTAATTAAAGGAACATTTTACAAAAAAAAAGATTATAATGCTTTAATCTTCGACTTCAATAGTCGTGTACATCCTATGTAGGTTTTGAGATAACTTTAGGATGATTGTATTTGATCAATTTAGTATTCATAATGCTACTCTGAAAATATTCTTAGTGAAAATTGCTTAAAAAACCACTTTGTTCCATCTCTGAGCGCCAGGGGCAAAGTGGATTTTTTAAGCATTTTTCATTATTGTAACTTTGGGAGGTCAGTGTTCATAAGTTTTGAGACAATCTTTCATGTCGTACTCAGAAGAAAGTCGCTCTGCAGACTAATAATTCGCGTGTTTCAGTGAACAGAATACTGAAATATGATCTTAAGGTAAAGGCCTATAGCCGTAGAAAAAAATCACTTTTTAAACGTTCGTCTTCGTAAGTTACGACGCGAACGTTGTTCATTGCTGCTGAGGAGATATAATGACAGGAAGATACTTTTCACCGACGAGAAAATCTTTAATGTCGAAGAAAAGTTCAACCGACAAAATAATAAAGTGTACGCTAAAAGTTGCAAGGATGTCCCAGCTTTTGCACGGAATATCTCGCGCACTCATCATCCAGCTAGTGTGATATGGTGGGGTGTTTCGTTTGAAGGTGTCACTTCTCTCCATTTCTGCCAACAAGGTGTTAAGGTGAAAGCCAAAAATTATCAGAGTGAATTATCAGCTCGTGGTGGCGTCTGAAACATTATTTCAGAATAAGGATTTTCAACAAGACTCGGCGCCATCCCATAAGGCAAAAATCCCCCAAGTTTGATTGGGAAAGAATGTGCCGGCCTTCGTCGCGGCGGACGAGTGGCCCTCCTCCAGACCCAACCTCAACCCGCTGGATTATTCTTTATGGACTGAATTAGAGAATTTTTCGTCCGGGTATCGAAGAAACAGCTGTTTTGATCTTTCGACTCTCTTTTGTTTTGGAGCCTGATTTAAGGTATGTCCTGTTTATCTCCGGTAAGCCCCTAGACCTAAGCCTTGTTTGATAATCGGAAAAATGCCACGGTGAAATTCTCATTTCTCTGGAAAAGATTTTCTGTTTCGTTATGGGATTTCGACGAATTCTGACTTTGACTGCACTAACGGCCTGATTTGTTCGAATAGATCGCGGTCGGCCGGATGTCTCACGGTCATGAACAGACATGGTTTTAGTGTACTTTTGGATGGTACGATACACAAACATTCGGCTAATCCCTAGCCTTTTTAATGTATCAAAAATGTAGGCTGGCTCCTTATCTACTTTGTACAGTGCAATTACTGCAATCCTTTTCTCTTTATTGCCCCAACACCATTTTCAAAACAAATAATTTCTAATCAAAAATACAATACTGGCAGAAAAGTAGTTTTTTTTTTATCGTAGAAGCTAATGTTCGAAATTTAAATTAATGTTTTTTTCTTTTTTTTAATGTATGTAAACAGCCAGTAACAGAATTTATGGCTAGACTAGGTATGTAAAAAGTTATAACATAACCTTTATAATCCAGCACTTTACACTTTACCAAAATATGTAAAATGTGTAAAAAGATTTATTAAAATTAATTATTAACAAAATAGGTCCCTAATGAATATTTTTTTCTAATTGTCACCAAATCATAATTTTCTTCTCATAAATAAATTACCAAGCATGCTTTATTATATTAACCTTGAACCTACGGCATTGATACTTTGACTCATACCTTTGACTAATTAAAAAAAACAAGAAACTTCAGTCAAGTCAACATAGCAAATGTCATAAATATAGTAAAATACTTAACAAACTTTGTACTCTTATTTTTTTTAATAAAAGTTTTGATAACTTTATACATGAACGGGTACGTGAGTCACTTGCGATAATATAACACATCACTGGTTGTTGGATACTTCTTCGAGTTCTTTACGGCGAGTTAGTTCCTAATAGGTGCCCGTGCCGGTAAGACGCATTTTTAACCTATTGTAAGTTTTTGTGACGTGTTTTCATACTTTACTGTTTTATAGTTATTATTTAGAGAGTTCATTCCAGGAATAGCCATTAATAGATTTAAAATATGTGTTTCCTTACCCTTGAAATGGTTTGTTATTGTAAAGGTTATGATGCATTTCGGTCAATGATCTGCAATATTTTTAATATACCTGTAATAATTATTCGAATGTATTTTTAAGGTAATTCACGTCTTAAGTCACCACATCACACATCATGTCTCTCCAGGAGGTAAGTAAGGTTATGGATAGTAGTAATATATAGTTATAAGGTATTATAACAGTTAAAATTATTCCATAAATATTGAAGATTTTCTGAATGCTGAGTTTTTAATATAGATTTTTCTATAATAAGAAGGATATGTTTTTAATTTGTGATGTCATCATGAAACATTGATATTCTCCAGTTTTGACAAGTGATATTATGAATTTTATTGTGTTTTAAAGATTTGACATTTAGTTCACCTTGTGATTGGTAATATTTGTAAATAAAAATCATACTAAGTATCTATATGCCTTACAAAAAAATAACCTGTTATAGTCAAAAGTGAGTATTTTCACTCTGTTCATAAAGAAAAAAAATTACTGTATAAAGACAAAATCAGTTTAACACATATTTTTTTAACTAACACAACACCTGATCACTATTTAATTTACGTATCATATCAACATAGGTAACATGCAGTTTTTTCAATGCAAAGGAATATGCCATGTAATTAATGTTGAATCAGACAAAATTGTGTTTAAATTTTACATGTATAAATAGATAATTTAGTCTTACAATAAATTTTGTCTATAATTTTTCTCAAATACAGTCTATAATATTTCCATAAATTGAATTAAAATGGATGGCACTTGTGATTTACTGTATTTTTAAAAGGCATGTTATTTTCATATATGATATTGCTTATGCTGTCCTGCTGCATATTTAATAAAGTATTAATACCTACTTATAATTTTATTAGTGTGTAATATACAATTATTTTGTGCAAAAACTTATTAAAAATTAATATTTTTTTGTTACATGAACAAATATATTTAAATATTCTATTTTGTTTATGATGTAAGTGTTGCAAGGTCAATATCTTATTTTTCCAAGGCTTTTTCATTCATAGGTTTGTTTTCAGCTCATTAAAAATACAACTAATATTTAGTTTACAGTAATACTGTTATATTTTTTATATTACATGTAACAATAGAGTTATTTTAAAGCAATCCCAATTTTTTTTCTATAGTTTGTTCAGTTTAAAGAATTGTCCAACAAAATTGTGTAATAAATTAGTGCATAATATTTAAATTATTCCGTGTTGGCAAAAATTAAAGTAAAATTGTTTTAGAAGAGAATGATAATTGTATAACAAATTAATTAATGTGAAACTGTGGACCAAGGTATCTGTATGACTGCAAATAGAATTTAGAGCAATAAATTTTATTTATCTATAAAAAAAAAACTACTTTTCACTGTCTGATAATGATGATTTAACATTTACATCTATTAAAAATACGTCACCAACTTAAACTCTGTAATTTACATATGCCTCTACTGACCTTTAGTGTAGTGTAGTTTGAAAATATAAATAATTTGACTTTATAATATTAGTAGTAGTATTTAAATGCTGTAGATGCTGTGCTGCTTGATAATTTATTTAACCTGTGCATTTGATATTCCAGCAATTCGATGCGGCTGCCGCCAAGGTAAAGAATCTGAAGTCCCTGCCCAGTGACAACGACCTTTTGGAGTTGTATGCTCTCTTCAAGCAGGCAACAGTTGGTGATGCTGACCCAGCCAGTAAGTATATTACAGCATATTAGATTATACAAAACAGTTAAAATTCTTCAATTGATTTTAAATTTTAATGTGTTGTCATTTAAATTAAAAATTGATTGCGAATAGACATTTTTGTGTTAATCAAGTTTTCATTTTTATAAACCATGCATGGCTTTTTATTTTAATTGGGCTCACTGCGTATGTAACTGAAAATAATAGGTATGTTAAATATATTTAAAAAAAGTAATCAGTTGTCGGCACACAACTTTGAGACAATCTTAAACGGCTCATTTACATTGATCAATGCAGTCAGCACGCGTGTTATGGGTGACCTTTGCACGTACATCTCATTGGTCAATAAAACAGTGACTGAAATATAAAAACTGGGGACAGAAATTGCCCGCACGACTCACGCGGATGTCATCGACCAGTGTAAATACGCCATATGATCTTAATCTAGACTTGGTGCTGTACGGGTAGTTCATACAGATGATTCTCTCATTTGGAGCTGTCGTATGGAAATCGGCTATTGCGTTTAGTAGAACCCTGCTAGTGGCTCGCGGGTAATTAAATAAACAATAGTTCTTTACACGGCATCACCATTTTTTTTACCTAGCCTACTAGTAGTACGAATTGCCTAGTAAAATAAATAAATGGCGGACTTTTTGCCAAAGATTTTTCAGAGGTATTCTCTACCAGTCAACCAGAAAATTTAGTACAGAACTTTAAAAGCGGCGAAAATCATAACGTAGGAAATGAATATGTACGTTACGCTATTGATATTTCTACATAAGAAATATATTAAAGTATATATAAAATAAAATAATATAT